ACAGCCATCTTTGATTTGGCCCAAGAGTTGTATTTGGCTTGCAGCTGACAGGTCTTTCTGATACTGCTAGCCCTCAAATGCAGAGATTATCCAGCCTATCCTAGTGATCCTCCAGCCCCTAGAAAGATTAATCCTCCAGATTGGTATCTCCTAAAAACAGACAGTGATTCTCCAGCCCATGGCCCTCAGATTCAAAGCAAAGACCATCTACCTAAGGGAACATGCAGATCCAAAGACACTAGTACTGTGACCCCAAAGGACCCTACCCACCCACATACTTTAAACCAGAAACCTCCAGACTGAAGTGCCATCCATAAAGATCTGAACTGGTAAAAACCCAGAGCACTAGCTTAGGGACCCACAGACTCAAATAATTTCACTATGCCAGGCCTAATGACTTATAGACCACCACAGTTCTGTGCACCTTAGACCAAAAGATTCCCCTGCCTGGAGCCCATTAGACCCAGAGAAACCCTTCAGCATGGGGAATCCCTAATCAAGAATCACCAGAAACAGGTACCTTCTTGTATCTGTCATCAACCAGCTTGGTGAACTCTCAGGATCGGAAGCCCTCCTTATAATAAACTTCATTACTACAGACTATATTCATTATGGTTATTCTGACACACTGTGCCTAGTGAACTCCAAGGCCTCTTTAGCCTGCTATGTCCCCAGGACCATGTAGCCTTCTTATATTTTAAGCCAAAATGTTTCTTTTTTTTGTAGTTTTGGATAAAGTAAGAGATAAATAAAACTCTCCATTTTATTTCATGGCTGTATCCCATTGTAGATAGTTCACTTTACTCTCAATACCAACAGAAAATGAGAGGAAGTTTCTCCAAAATGACAGATATCCTGTCTTAGTTGTCACCTAAACAAGTGTCCACATTGGAAGATATTTTTGAAATTCCTGTTACTATGGCAACTCAAAATTTGGGATTTTCTCTCACATTGAGGGAAGTGGTGAGCTTACAGATCCAGGAACGCTCTGCGTCCTGGTTGTCCCCCCATGTTAGGAGCTTTCTTCATTCTGGAGAACTTTCAAACACAGGGGACCCGTGTTAGTTGGCTGACATCCATCCAAAAAATGATATCACGATATAACCATATCCCATCACCACTGGGACATGCCAATGGCACATCAAAGTTCATGGCTTTGTGACATGCTATTCTTTATGAAAAACCCATTCGTGAATCAGGATATCCTCAAGTACAAACACAGTCTCTTTGGGCCACTTATCAGCCTAAATTTTGTAGCATATACAAAGAGACTGTAACATGTTTAGTCAGCTTAAACCCAACACTGGGCCGGGTAGAACTGGGCACCCAGGCAGGAAAATAAAAGCAGTTTAGGGTCCAATTCGGAGTTGTTCCCCCCACACAGTACTTCTACTCTGCCACAAGCTACCCCCAGTCTTCTTAATTAAATGACCTCCCAGTGTGACCAGCCAAAAGACTTCTAAAAAAAAAAGGTAAACATACAATCAAAAAAGCATAGCACATAGTGTGGGGAGCTTCCAAGGGGCGAGTGGGCCACTCAAAGAGGGGAATTGGGTTTCATGATGTTAAAAAGTGCAGAACCCTTTGATTTTCCAATGCTTACTATGCGGCACCAGCTTGAAACTAAAAAATATACATTGACTCAGAGTTACAGTTATTTAATCCTGCATCATGTCTACTAGATAAATAATTATTCTGGCTGGGTGTCTTTGATTTTTAGATACTAATATGAGATTTTTGTAAGGTTTTAAAGAACAGTGCATATAACAAATTATGTCTTAATCTTTGAGGGAGGATGAAAAATGGTGCTAATTGTTTTAAAAGCAGTATGTGTAATTAGCTGTAATCTCATCTTCTGAAACGGAATTTTGCTCTATTAGCTGTGTCAGTTCCCAGCTTTGGCCACTAGAGGGCACTGTTGTACATATGCTGCTCCGGATGGCTAAATCTTTGCTGTACATATTTCAATAAATGGTTTCATTTACTCCACACGCCAGTAGGGAGCTCCCTAGGTCTCTAGTTTATTTGCATTCTTTTATTTGTTGTCTTTTTTTCTTTTCCTCTAGGACCTTATTTATAAAACAAAAATGTCTGATAGAATTAAACCTGCCCTGGGAAATAACAGTCGGAGGATCAGCAATTTATTGTCATTTAAAATAATTTGTAATACAGAAAGGGTTTGAGGCTTATTTATGAAAGGTGTTTATAGAGCGCAGACAATTTACACAGCGCTTTACATGCACAGTGCACATTCACATCAGTCCCTGCCCTCAAGGAGCTCACAATCTAAGGTCCCTATCTCACATGCATACATCCAAGGGCCAATCAATCTTCCAGCATGTCTCGGATGTCCACACAAACACGGGGAGAACATGCAAACTCCTTGCAGATAGTGACCTAGCCTGGAAATGAACCAGTGCTGCAAGGCAGAAGTGCTAACCACTACGCCACTATGCTGCCCAATTTGACCTATGCATTGCTTTACTGTACGGTAACGTGTTTTCCATGCTTTTCTGTAAAATCCGTGCCTGGTGCATTGCG